TCTATTAGACATTCAACTAAAGATTCTGTATAGGAATTCCCTTCATGCTCTTTAACAAGGTTTCTCAATTTCGTCATAAGTTGCTCCCGAGATCGACAAGTTGCTTTCAAATTACTAGTGTCTACTAGAAGGGCCCAATATGAGATTTTGAGCTTTACTCGAGGGCGTCAGGTAAAAGTAAGGTGGGTTGACTACGTGTTGAAAGGTGTGCATTTCAATAATCAGACAATTTGAACGTGACGTGAGGGAGTTGGAAAATCACAAACTTGGCACTCTCGAGCGCGTTGTAATTTTGTTTATTTCGAACATGATCCATTGCAACAGACTTTTGCAATGAAAGGGGGTTGAATCTCCCTTCTTGAAACAACATTTTGACTTTTTGAAATAAACTAGAAAATTCTTTACAAAAAAATGTTTACTTTACCATCGCTAATGCATAACAAACATTTTTTACGGTGACGTATTTTCTGCATATTCCAAATAAGAACAATATATACAGGGCGTTTCTAAATTTTATGTAAATACGGAAAGGGATAATTCTTTGGCTGATGTAAGTTCATATAAACGCTACCGATCTACGGAGTGTTTTTTAAAGTTTTTTCTTTATATCTCCTGTAGTTTTTGAGATATTAGACTCAAATTTGAAATATAAGTTACGCTGAAGGGCTTAAATGGAAGGAGTGCTTATTTTGCGACACTTTATTTTTCTAACTGATTTTGATTAAAGGGTATATTAGCAACCCTACCCTCAGAAACGACAAAAATGCATCACCTATCCGTGTTCAAATTATGCATTCTTTAAGGGAAAATTTGTTCTTGCTTTTCGCATAGTATGCAGTGGAGAAAGGTGTCCATTTCGCGCGTATCAAAATGTTTTTTAAAAGAAACTTTTTATGGTATCAAAAATTATAGAAGGCTCAATCTAGGTACTTTAAACTTTTGGTCAGTGGCGTACTTAAGGATTGGCAAGGGGGGGCTATTTTTTTAAGGCAATTATTAGTTTTCACTACATGTTCTTAAATAGTACACTTTTCTGGATATAGCAGCATAAAGAAACTTATTATATTACGTTACAATTAAATTTAAGAGAAAAACTCAAATTAAGGAAAATAGTTGTGTTAATTAATTTTATAATTTCACTAGTTTGCGTTGTAAAAAAGTTATTCTTTTGTTATTTATATGAAGACAATTTATTGTACCAAAAATTAAAAAAAATTAAGTAAAGCTATATGCTTGAAATATATTTATAATGGTGTGCGTCTACCGAGGCATCTACAGAACTAAGAGGGTCACTTTTTTGATGAAAAACACAATTTTTCGTGAGTTATTATGAAAAAAATTATGAAACTAATTAACAAACTATTTTCATTAATTTGAGTTTCTTGTTTATGTAATAATAATACATTTTTATGCTGCTACATCCAAAAAAAGTGTACTCATTAAAAATATGTAAAGAAAACCAGTGATTACCATTAATAAAATTATGCCCCCCTTCGCCATGCAGAAGTACTTCACTGACTACAAATTCAAAGTACGTAGATTAGTATTTTGGAGATATATTCAGTGTGCCAGGTAACATCTTCACCCTGTATAATATATAATTAATGAGTTTTGGACCGTACTTAAGCAACCCAAATACTGAATTTGTATTTTGATACTGGGTACGATAAACTCTTAGCTGCTTACTTCTTTGATCAACTTTTTCTGTAACTAAACCCCTACCAGGATCCGAGTGGTTATCTCTTCTTATCTGCGACTCGCCGATGCCTAACTTCCTAAACCAATCGAAATAAAACAAAGCTCTATTAGTCTATTGAACGTATATACGAAGAATAACGACATAACATGAGCGCCACCTATTTATCACAAATTTATCTTTCTCGGAAGTTCTCGAACGCTCTCGAATATTCTCGAACAAACACGTGTCATTTTCCGCATGCATGCGTTTTCGTTTATCAAAACTACAGAATATTTGGTAAACTCAAAAATGCCGATTTGTGCATTTGAAAGCTACCGTCACGACTTTGTGGCCGACCAATCGGAAAACGATTCGATTTTTCGACTAAAGTAATAACAGAGCGCGTTGTAATAGCCGTAGAAAGACTTCAAGGTAATTTCTTTTCATTTAACACTAATTCATTGAATTTAATACATAATAACGCCTAAGATTCAGTTGTTATTGTGAAAACGTCTCGATTCTCTGATAGGAACCAATAATTTTGGAAGACCACGTGTATGTACTTCTATGCAACCCTCATCAGGTTACTAGGAATTTAATCAGTTTGTTCAGATGAGGTGCTACTATGGAAAATTGGTTCTCACCGTTGAGAAATCTATTTTCTTTGAACGATGCGATTTGACTATTCTGGAACGCCCGTACGATTTCTAATTCCATGGCGCATTTACTGATAAATGTAGGCGTATTGCGTTTAGGCTCAAAAGAATCTGAGGGTTAAGCTACGTACACCATCTTTATTGCTGTAGTACTTAGTGCTCACGGCACAAAACAACATTTCGTTTAAAGGCTTCCGTACAAGGAAAAACAAGGTCTGTGCGGAACTCGCCTTCGCCTCGCTCGGCACTCGTATGCCCATTACGTTTAGGCTCAATAGTCTTTATTTAGTTTTTTTAATTTATTTATTTATTATCCCTCTCGTTCTGGGCCCTCAACAGGCTTGCGCCCAATTACAGAGTGACCCGCATAATGCTTTTTAGAGGTGTCCCTGCAGAAGGTCTTAAGTTGTTCTAATACTACTCCGGTATTTACCTTACGAATTAGGAAAATTGCCGGAAAATCTAATTCAGGACAGCCGGGCGAATGCTTGAAACTGATCTGAGGAAATTCCCATATCTCACACAGACGAAAAATTCTTACCTCAGCCCAGATTCGAACACCCGACCTTCCGGCTATGTAACCCAACGCTCTACCACCGAGACACATAGTCGGGCTTTATAATTAAGTGACAAAAGTTCATCCCTTATTCGTTTTGAAATAAAAAATTTTTAAAAATTTTTTTACTCGTATTTAATAGTAGTGCCAATTCTGAGGTGCATCAAGATCAAGAACAGCTGTTTTTAAAGATAGAAACTTTCCAATACAGCATAAGGCAAAAATCTGTACAGTGTGTTCTATTTTGTCAGCGGTTTTCACGACCTTATGTTACTTCTTTTGCGAATCTTTTAATGCCGCATACAAAATCAATCTACCTACGTTTCTTTCTGAAATACAGGGTGAAAACGAAAAGTTTGACTTTTTGGGATGATATATCATATCTTACTTCCCATGTAAGGTAAAGAAAAGTTAAAAACTGCATGTTTTAGATATTTTTACATCGAATCCAGTGGCGTAGTCAAAAAAATGTTGGATCACTGTTTCTGTGATATGCCCCAATGTTGGTATTTTTTTAAATGCAACCCTATATATCTTAACGTCAATTTGTTTCCTTCTTTTTCCTGATTACATTGATGTCTCACGACCTATATATTTGCTAATTTTAGCCACGAACCAAAAATAAAAACCTTATTTTTTACGGTTATTGTAGTAGGTCATGAACTTGTGGAGATTTTGTTTTGTTTATTGTATCCATGGTATCTGTCTGACGAAAGAAACGTGTCAAAATCAGGTTATCTATGACAGAAATTTTCTAGATTAGCAAATTGATTTCTCAAAACGTAAAAAGGGTGCCACCCTGCCCGCCCGGCCAACAGAGGTGCATTGTCTGTTTTGTGGGGCTTCAAATATTTTTATTTCTTTGATTTATTTAAATTTAAGGGACCACTAGCCACCATATATACAATATCAAAAAATCACCTCTATCTGTGATCAGTTTTTTTTTAAGGAAACTGCTCCCTTTACACGTATTCATTAAAAGGGGTGTCTATTCTGCCTATGTTTGTGTCGAACTCGACTTCGGGTCGTTTGGCAATCGTTGGCGCATGTTTAGGCCCTGTATCCCATGGGATTGGGAACATCTAGCAGAATGTGAACGAATTCCACGGGAAAAATAATTAATAAATCAATGCGAGCTTTAGGGTAGGTTATCCTTCCTCACTGCTATAGTATTACAAGACTAAAAACAAAACACTGTATTTCGAGGAAAAGACAATAGGGCTGAAATGAATCTTAGGGCTGTATCCCATTGGATTGGGTACACGGCTACCAGAACGTGAGTGAATTTCACGGGAAAATGCCTTTTCTCTGCGACGCATCCTTTTCGAGTGGAAAATAAAATTCTTAACTAAAAGATAGTCCCATTTCTCCACTTGGAGTATTTGAATCTATTCCAGCATATCATCAGCCATGCAACTATTGAGGCATTAATAACCCTGTCACTGAAAACCACACGTTTTTTGTTTCATAAACCATACGCATTGTTTACGTAATTGTCAAAGAATTTTACCAGGTAAATTGTGAATTGCGGTTATGTTAAAAATGGGACATTGTGGTCAATTTAAAATAGGGTACTGTGGTCAAGCTGCATGTTGGCGGTTTTAATTCTGGCGACGTTTTAGGGTTACGGCAAGTTTTCGAACAAAATCAGGTTTGGGGGGTTGTTGGTCAGACTCCCGCGGCGAAAATAATTCTAATCGATCACGGAACGCTAAATTTCCCGCTTGATTAACTGTAGCTGGAGAATATTCGATACAAAGTGTACAGTCAACAATTGAAAAAGGAATAGCAATAAATTGGAAGTGTTAGAGAAGTCCCGTTACTTCCGGCGAAGCACTTAATTAAAAATGGAAGTAGGTACATTGTACATAAAGAAAGGTTCCCTATTATGTATCTTAGTGGGAAGCGTATACATATGCGTTAATGTAGCCAACCCCAACTACATAATCAAAATACATGTTCCCGAGTACAAACTACCTTTAATGATAAAAATCCATATTTAGAGGTAGTTCCGACCTGCGCCTTGTAATCGTCGGCACGTTTGTTGGGGGTGGGAGGATATAGCCGTCTCAGCGTTTCTGTTGTGCTACTGCTTTTTTCACTATCAGTAACAGTACCGGTTTTGACTTGCCATTGGTAGTCACGTTGCTCGGCTCGTGCTTAGTGATTATGTTTTGTTTATGAGTCGTTATCAAAACGAAGTAGAACGTTCCACCACGACCCCCAGAGAGGTAAGGGTTGACGACTCTTAAGTCAAGATATCTCCAAATTTTTACCGCCGTGCGCTATTTCCATTCAATACTTGTAATTATGCACTATCGCCTTGCTTATCGAGTTGTTTTCAAGTCTGAACACAATACCCAAGTACAGTTTCCATAAAAAACACGGTTATTTATCAAAGAATGCGATCCACCACAAAACTCGTTCGTTTTGTGCAACTTGAGGTTTCTTTACACTTATTCTAATTGCACTCTTTCCCCTCGTATCTTTGCGCGCCGAGAAGCACCCCTATTTACTCGCAGAACAACTTGAAAAATCCACTCTCATATAAGGCTTGAAAACATACAACTTCCCTTCGGTTTACGTTCAAAGGAGGGATGGCATGCATTTATAATTGGCTTCCTATTCTCTTTTACTACACCATTCTACTTTATTCGACCAACTCGTGTGTCTGTATTAGAAAAAGGGCCCTTGTTCTTACTGCCAAAAATATCCACAGGACCACTACATTAGTCTCCCGAATTTGTGCGTATTCTCAAAGAGGAGGCTCACATTTATAAAGAATAACAGGGGTTGACAGGGGTATCAACATAATTCAGTTGAAAGATGGAGAAAGGGATTTGTGTTTAATGAGGGTTGTTTACATACTAAACACGAAGCGTGCGTTCCGTGAAATAGGGGATGGGAATATGAAATACATGTTTCAATTTTTGGATTAAGAAGTAAACACGAAATTGTATTATGCCATTAGTGCTCGTCACGTGTTGACATTTGGTTCATGCTCGGGTAAAGTAAGTGATTAGTTAAGGTGCCTTATCAAAGGGCATTGGAGCATAAATTTACCTCATAGTATTGTAATAGGTACATGGTCATAGACAACTTTCAGAAAAAACACAACCCACAAATTGGCGCGAATTCTTTAGGGGACTATTTCCCAGCTTCATCCCCAATAACTAGAAATTTCGAAAGTGCCCTACATACTGAATAAACTGATACAACGAAATATCGAAGGATCCTCAGTATTACCATCACTTTTTTACGACCATTTCTTTTAATTTTTCAAAATACATATTATAGTTAACAAAAATGCGTCAAATTCATGTCTTGGTCATTGATATAATGCTCTTGGTCTTTTTCCCAACGATCTCGGTGCAAGAATAACGATTTTGACATGTTTTGCGATCGCCGTTTTTTGTACATGTCAAAATTTGATAAAATATCGACAAAGGGGAGTTCGGCACCAATTTACTCCCCCCCATCAGACCTTTACTCTAGCTAGATTTGTGCCGAACTTGCCTTCGGCTCGCTCGGCACTCAAATAGATCTACTATTAATAGTTTCACAACCAAATTTACTTCCCTCATCTATTTGGGTTTTGGTTCCTTCCCATCTTCAGGGTTTTTGGACGTGTCAAAAGTATAAAATGGCCGTAACGGCTTGGAAAAAATTTCTGTAATTTTTCCCATACACTGGCTAAGGTGGCATAAAAAACTGTACAAAAAAGTCCCTTACGGTTTTTTTTGTTAGTTTCTTAGTTTTTGAGAAATTTTGAACTGAATTTATTGGCTAAATTTGTATTTTTCTCGAAACGTAAGCACCGTGACGAAGAATGCTAAATACAAAAAAAAGATGTGTCTTCATAAGATCTACAAAAAACTCTCCTACATTTTTTGCGCCGGGTTCATAATAAAGGCGCCAAAGGACATTTTCTAAATGTTATATTATTATTATTTTTCTCTGTTTAACCCCAGTTTAACCTACGAAAATTGGGATATTTTATTCTCGATTTTATTACAAAATAAAACAAGTGACCACTTATACTACTTCTTTGACCTCTTTTTGTCGCGATAGAAAAAAGAGCACGCGTTCGGGGAGGGGGGGGGGTCGAACCCGCATCATCATAATCGAAAAACGGTGGCCTTACAGAAAAAGTACGAATTCTTTTGGATTCTACGCACCAAAATTAACAAGAAAAAGTGTTTTCCCGAGAAATTTTGGTGCAGTCGATTTTTGGTAAAAAAAGGAAGGTTAAACACTGCCTTTTTTTGAGCTCCGAAGAAAAAATTGTCTCAGATCGACCCGGAAAAAAAATTTCCTTATAGAATGTGGCCTGTAGAATCCATAATTTCAAACAGTTCCAAGATTCGGCTACTAGTTCAAAAGTTACAGCCCTTTGAATTTTCTTTCGAAATTGGTCCATAACTTCTGATCAGGGCACTACGTATAATTAACAATAATCTTGAATCCATTTTATTAACGATCCTCGAGATCGTTTATAATTTTGTATTGCTGTCTGTCTCTGTCTGTCCGTGTGCACGTCAATTTCATAGATAGGTACTCGGATAGGTATATCGACGAATATTTCCTGTCAATTGGACAAATGCGCTTTAAACAACTGTGAGCGAGGAGAGCTCGTCTTCGCCTGCCGAGCGTTACATGTGACAACCACAGAATATAGAGTACAGGCGTTACGCATGAGATGATTTGACTCCCCGTGCAAACCGTAGTAGTCCAGTCATTCTATGGTAAAAAAACGCAAATAGAAAAAATAATTCTTGTAGTTCCAATTTTTTCAGGAATCTGTGGGGGAAGGCCCCCTGATGATTATGTAATAAAGGCTGGAGTTATTTCGGTGCCGCCGGCGAGATGGGAGGGGGTTGTGGAAACGGTGCGTCGTAAAAAAAAAGGCACATAACATTTGCTACTACTTTGTTTCCATACATTTTTTCGAAAAAACGCATCGCCTTTGAGCTACGGACTTTTGAACGTGAGCAATTTTCAGAAGACTCACGTTTCCGACGAGCATTTGCGTCTAGTGGTATTTTGAGGTTGTAGCGATTTAGGACTGACATTTGCTAACTTATCTTCACCCCCAAAATTAAACAATTTCGAAAATGTTGGGTACATTTCGAATTTTTTTTCTACGACGACACACTCTTTTCGTGATGCCTATAGGAAAAATCGCAAAACTCTACCCTCCACCCCCCTCTCCTCCTTCCCGCGACATCCGAATCGCTTGGGACTTTATTATCAGGAGACCTTCAAGCACACATTCTCGAAAAAATTGGAACTCAGGTTGGAAGGCGCCAATATGGCCACTTTTTTCTGTCCGTCTGTTCGAGGCCTTAACCACTCCTACAGTTTGCACGATATGTTCTTTTTGCATTCGGTAGCTTATAGTTCTGGCTCCTGAACTAAGAAAAATCTTGACGATTAATGTGCGCATACAAAACCAACTTTCTTATTTATGGAGATTTTTTTCGAAATGCTTCTATAGTAAAGACAAGCATATCGTATTTGGTAAAAGTTAGATGTGCGCTGTCAAATCTACAAACTTAATCGACGCACGCCACTGTTGATTTTTAGGTTGCAAATTTTTAATAATTTTTGATACAATAAATTGCTTTGACAAAATTAACAAAAGATGTACGTTTTTTTCAACGCAAACTAGTACAATTGTAAAATTAATTAACAACTATTTTCTTTAACTTGAGTTGTTCTTTTAAATTTGATATATTGTTATATAATGAATTATTTATGGCGCTATATCCGAAAAAGTGCTCGAGTGTACTCTTTAATAATATACAGTGTTTCCACAGTGCACATAAGATGTATATGCAAATACATAAATGCAAATATGACAAATTTTTTTTAGAGTTGGGTCTTCATGTTCTGAGGATCGCTCCTGTTTGATCTCAGGTATACAAAAAATGAGCCAAATCAATTAATATACAGGCTGTTATTTGCCTAATTCAAAAATTAGTTAAAAGTAAACTGTCTTTATTTTAGTAGATATAACAAAAATGTATTTAAAAACAGTTGTTTAGAATTAAACGTTATAGAAACCTTAAATTTTCATATTTTGATTTTTCCTTCGGAATCGAATATTTTGGAACCCATGTTTGTAACACAAATCAAAGCAGGCTGATTTGTATCAAAATTGAAAGTCTACCACATCTGTCAAGCTGATATGTCAAAGACGTGATTGTTTTTACACGATGTACTGATTTTAAAATTGCTATCTCATGTTGATGAAACAAAACCAAGTAGGCTGATTTGCATGAGAATTGAAAGTCATAACTTTTTTAAATAAATACATGTTTTTTATATCTCTTAAAATAAATACAGTTTACACATGACTAATTTTTAGAATTCGGCAAAAAAACACCCTGTATATTAATTGATTTGACTCATTCTTAGTATGAGACTAGCCAGGAGCGATCCTCAGAACGAGAAGATCTAACTCTAAAAAAATTGTCATATACATTTTATGTGGTTATATGCACTCAATCCGTGGACACACTGTATAACGAAAATTAGTACTTGGTATTAAAAAAATATGCCCCCCTTGACCATGGAGAAGTACGCTCGGAAGTACGTCACTGGGCACAAATTTAAAGTACGTAGATTGGTAGCAAACTTTTTATTATTTTGGACACCATAGAAAGTTTCTTTTAAAGAAATGTCAATCGTTTATTTTAACCCAATTAAATGAAGAAAACATTTTTTTTAAGTAGGCGGTATTTATAGAGTTTTTTAACGACATAAATTTCAGTGGTCTATTTTGATTAGATTACTACAAATAAAAGCGACCAAGTAGATCAGTGCGGAGTTGACATGACCCTTTTAAAATATGCAGGGTGGGCCATTAGGGTGTAGGTGGATGATTGTAGGTTTATATATTAAACATTCACTTTTAAGTAGGTACTGAATCGACAGTCTCTGCGACTCTTCCTTCACCTACCGATCACTGTCGAGTACGGTGCAATCGTTACTTGATGCGACACCTTTGTCTTTTAGCCTTGAAGGAAACCCGTAAGTTTGTACCCAAAGGTATACGAAAACATCAACATTTCCTATGTTAAAAGAAAATTTGGCGCTTATTAGGTTTTTTCAAATGAGTCCGTTGTAAGATAAACCGACTTCAAATCAATTGATTGAGCATATCATTCCAAGAGCCGTAATACACACGGGCTAAAAAAGGAGCATAGTTGCATTCCGTAAGTTTTGA